AGAGGTAATCACATTAGTGTCCAACTATTTTTTACAGTAAATTTCCCACTTCTGTATATATTTTTCATTACATAAGATTTTTAAAAATATGGTAATCAATTCTCCAGAAAAATAAATTGTTCACAAAAAAACCCAACATCTTTCCCCTCAACACTTTCATAACTTAATGACATGGAGAAGAAAAGGCCCTCTGAGAAAGGTTTCTTTTCTCTAAAGCTCCTTGCTCTTAAGACCAAGTCCAAAAGCAAAAAGGCACTCACCAGCTTCAGCAACCATAAAATTAGGCCTTTTGACTGAGACTGAGCTAAGAATGGTTTCCCAAATCAGCCCTGACTTCTTAGTGGGAAGGTAAAGGTGATTTTCTAACAGTATTTCCCAGGTTGCTGTGAGAATCAAAAGTGTATCAGCTTGACCAAGGGAAGCTGGAATTCAAAAAAAGGAAAGATGAGAAGAATTAGGATAATAGGAGGCAGGTCTAGGAAAGCTGGAAGCCACAGAAGGGCATGCTTACAGAGCTGACTGGATTAAACAGCCAAAGCAAGAGGATACGTGAACTAGAAAAACACCAGAGAGCTAAGGGCCAGGATAGTCGTGTAAAATCTTATGACATATCCACATGTTGTGGAGGACAGTCTCAAGCTCTTACTTAGCTAAATAGGGATGTTCAGAATTAGAAAAGCAGAAAAGATCTCCAGAAATAATTTTATTTGTGCATTGCATGACAGGTTGACACAGATGAAGAAAGCAAAGAAGGAAGGATTTCTTATTCCTTGTTTTAAGACAAGAATTAAGGATATGAAATCAAGTGATATTTGACTTTGCTGAAGTTTTATAGCAAACAAATACTCTTTTCAAGCAACATGTAAATAATCTGTAAAGTATCATTGCTTGAAGACTTTTGTAAGACCAAAAGCATTCATGAATTTAGAAATCTAGTAGAGAATTGCTTGCATAAAAGCCCACTGGAGCTTATTAAACATCAAGATATATATTCCACTTCCAGTTTTGTGTTTATAATGCCACAGGTCACCAGAAAAAGATATAGTCTGCCTAGGGACTACTACCATTTTATGTTTATCCTGTTGCAGTTTCATGATGCTCTCTCGACTGGCACAAATGGAGTGTCAGACTAAGCACATCTTTGATCTTCCCCAGTCCAGATAGACTTCCGTTCTTGTATCAGTGAAAAGAGAAATTATAAATACTACGAGGAAAAAAAATAAAAGAGATGGCATTTATATTATGCTCAGTCTCCCAGAAAGAAGGGCATTACAGCATTCTGACAGAATTTAATGAGAGAATTTAATTTTAGTCCCAAATAACCCTGCAATCTAATTGATTAAGAACTGATGGTAATTTTTCTTGTGTGTTTGCTCCAATAAGTGACAGGGCAACGACAGGAAATTAAAAACAAACAAACAAACATAAAACAAAGAGAAAAATCCCAAGCTTTTCCGCTATTCGCAAGCATTTAGCTCTTTATTGGTTTGTTTGTTTGCATTCTAGCTCACTTTAAATACTTCTAGCAGTACCAAAGGTGGCCACTTGAGGGCAATACTGCAACTTAATTTCCACGATGCTCGGCTCTAAGCCAGACCGCCACGTCATATTAAAAGCCAGATTTCACGTAAAGGCGAGGGCCCCGTTTTATTTGCGTGTATGTTAAACAGGAAAAAAAAATTCTTTCCTCAAGTTTCCAAGTGCTTAATACACAAAGAGAGTTTCAGCAACAGTTACAATGATTCACAGCTCAGCAAGCTCAACAGCAAACTAATAAATTATACTTACTTCACTTCACAACTGGAAAATTACTTAAGAACAGAGTTTCATCTGAGCGCATCAAGGGTTATGTAAGAACACCAGTCAAAGAATTCAAGTCCAGGAGGCAACTGTCTATTTTAGATGAGCAAAAGGATGATGAGCCATAGCAGGGGCCACGGGAAGTTACTGGCAGCACAGTAGAGCCTTCCCTGATGATGCAGGATGTGGTACTTCTGTCTACAAAAGTACATCCCTTCATAAAGCATTGGGATCAGGTTGGGAAAGGTTAATGGAAGGACAAAGAAAGCTATTTGCAGTGTGTTAAGCCTTGAAATAATTAATCATGAATTACTGGTTTGCATACTGTCTTCTATAAAAGAGATAATTATTCAAGGGTGAGCATTCTTCTCAATACACATACATAATGTCGATTAACACAAGAGGAATTATTACACACATTGACAGAGACCCTTCCCTTAATTGGTACAATATGCAAAATACAAAGCTTCTATTTTATTGATAATTTTTCAACACACAGATGATCTAAATAAGTGGTTTCCAACTCTCCTCAAAGAAACAGGGCTATTACATAAGCCTCATATCTAAACATCTGTGTGGCAGCAAGCCATTCTCCCCCCTGCATCTCTTGCATCTTCCCATACTGGGCCCAAATCTGGAGTTGCACTTTTGTTACCCCTTGACAGCACACAAAATCCTCATGCCAGGTCAGGATTTACCTTCTTTTGCTTTCTGAAATGAAATATTAAAATTTGTATAATCCGGAGAAAACCTGGCAGCTGGTGAGCAAAACACACTTGAACTCTTCCTGAACTGCCATTTGACCAATGCTTATTCAAGGAATCATTCTGAAGCCATGCCACTATGACAATAAAAAGAAAATATGCATTGCAAAAATAATTTACAAGAGTTTACTAACAAAAAGGCAGTGGGGAACGCAGTATCAGTTAACTCCTGTTTTTCTTTACACAGTTTCTCTCAATCATTGATATCATCTAGTTACCACATCTCCATTTTTAAAAAAAAATCTCTCATATATCCCACATTCTAATAACTCCTAGCAAACATAAGGCATTGTTGTACATGGGAGATCAAACTTCAAACATACTTTACATGCTGAGTTTGTGATAGCAAAACTAAATTAACCACAAATGTGGTTAATTTATCATTAAATTAATCATTAAAAATATTGTAATTATACTGATATGAGAAAATATTTCCTGACCAGTTTTCTTGACCAGGCTCCTTGGCTGGTACAAGCATGCATTGCTCCACTGGCTACTTTGGGAGATGACTCTCCTGGCATTGTGTTTACACTGGCAAGTGATGGGGGGATCCATGAAGTTTATGAGAAACTTGACAAAATCTCTTAACAAAGGATATCAATGGCTGAATTCATACCTTCTCCCAAGTATTTTGTGATGGGTGACCTGCCTGTTCCTTCTGCACAGACCCTCTATATGATTTTCCCAGTAGTGCTTTCTAGCCACTCTATGACTTCCTAGTGTCTCCCTTCTCCTGGAAGCTCCTTGCCCCCTTCCATGTTCTTTACAGGGCACACTGTGCTGAGAGGGAGCCTTACACAACCTATTTTCCATCATTTTTTTAATTGCATTTCAATATCTACGTCACAACAAATGTGCTTTCATTCACAAATGGTGCCTATCTTTTGTGTATTTTTCACAATTTTGATGAGTTTGTCTGAAGCTATGGAAGGCATAATGTCACAACAGCAGTAAACAGATTGGAACCACTGTAGATGCACTGCTACTCCTATCTATCATTTTTATTGCTTCTTCAGCTGCCAAAATGCTCTCTAAATGGTGGCTGGCACCCTATTCAGCAGACTTCCCTCAGTGGGAATTGTTTTTCAGAGCCATATCAGAATTACTGACGACTACTAGCCTTTAAAGTAGTCCCTACTTCAGCTACAACAGTATTGCTGCTGGATATTGCGCTATTTTCATAAACATAAAGCAAAACTGAACCCCAGGGTTTGAAAGCGAGTTGCCATTATTCTTCATAAATGTAAATGGAGGAAAATACATGGCAAAGAAATACATCTCCATGGGCTTCCATAGCTTAATTGGGGGGAAGAGAGAAGTAGATTCAGCTCACCTAATTTTGGCAATACAGAATTTGGCATGTTCTCTAACAATGTCATAGCCCATAGAAGGAAGCAAACACTTTCACCAGGAAACTCATTCCAAAACTGGTGTTTAAATTAAGTGGGATGATTTGTTCTCTAGAGGTGTCTGTTTCTCTAATGACTAGAATTAGATAATGAGCTTAATCTAGGTGCTCCACTTGGCAAGAGCTAAAATTATAGAACGTACCAAATGGCTGATATCATCAACAGTCCTGACAGTGACACCACAACACTCAGACTGATCCAAAGCTGTGACCCGCTCCTACCCCAAGAAGGGGTAAAGCACACCCATCCTTTAACAGCTGCTGCAGGAGTTGATCTATGTGACCTCAGGAAATCACTGTCATGTTGTGAGCTTAATTCCTCAAAAGGGAAGAAGCAGTGGCACAACTGTAGCTTCTTCACAAAGAGCTCATGTGTTACAAGCACAGTCCCCTGCTAGAAGAAGAAAGGAATTGGAAAGTATATTTGCAAATCCATGAGACTGCTGAGAAAGCAAGATGTGGAGAGAGAGGAGTATCTCCAAGCACTTGGAGATGTCCAGAATTAATCTAAGGTACATATGAAACATCCTTCTTCGTAAAATTGAGACCATGGGGAAACCACCCTATCCATGGTACACTTCCTTCCCCTTACTTAGAAGTGACCTGACCCTCCTCCTGTCTGTTTTACTGCACCTAAAAAAGAAATATAAACAAACTGTTTTAAATATTTACTTTCCCTTTTCACAACACTCTCAATATCCCAGCAAAAGTTGCTACTCTATGGCAGCACTCACACTGCTACGCTTTAGAGAAAACTCTGATCTTGCAACTGCTGTCAAATGTCACCAATAAAAATAGGCTTGGAGACATGCAAATCCCAGGCCCCCAGTGCACAGGGCAATGCTTTCCTGCTTCAAGAAGCAAACCCTACTTGTTTTGAGAAATGAAAACGGTACATTAGAATAATATTCACTGTAGGCTGTGGACTGCTAATAACAAAGGGGTAAAAGACAAGAAAGATATTCTCTAGTTTTCTGTCTAGGTACTTTTCCTGAAAGATGGAAAACTGAGGAAATTAAATGTTTTACCTTTAGGGTAAAATGTTTCTTCTTGGGTGGATGCCAGACAGTGGTGGTTGAATGAATGAATGCCCGCAGAGGTGTTAAGGATGTCACAAGCACATAGGCTTTGATGATTACAGAAAGGTCTTGAGCTTTAAGGATGTCCTTGTGGTTTGATGTAGTTGATACTTCATTCCTGGAAAGAAATAAAAATATGCAGCATTAATACAGTTATTTTGCAAATGAGCTATAAGAAAATAGTGAAATGGTGACATTAGTGGAAATAGGAAATTAGCCCTTTTTCTCCCAAGTTAAGCAACAAAGTAGATTAAATCAAGTAGACTGGAACAAAGCTTTACATCAAGTCATTTTACTGATTTCAGCATTTTTAACTCTTAGTTTCCAAACACAGGAGCAACTATGTTTAGAAGGAGTGATGCTTCAGAGTATATATGGGTAACTGCACTGTGGGAATAATTAAGTGTTACAAATTCAGGATATGCAGAGTGAAAGATTAAATCAAGATTAAATTAAACATCGAAGAAATCCAAACATCTTAAATAAAAGAAATGCACAGTCAAGGTATCCTATTTAATGCTGATTACAGTGAATTCAGAACACTCCCACCCAACCCTATGGAAAGACTGCAGTATTGTTAGCACTTCTGTAAAAAAGGGACAGAAACATGTGGTGCTGCATACTTCCCCTAATGAAAGCCATATACAATCATTCCAAATACTATGAAAGACTAGAATACCTAGAAATAACCCATAATAAATCAGTTAAACCTAAGAATTCTGCAAACAACTTTGTTTAAGAAGTGACAGAGCTCTCTAAAAACTGGCCTACAGCTCCCATAGTATACACAAAGAGAGTCAGCCACAGAAACAGAAGAGGAAAAAAACAAACCCAGGAAAAACCTGTTATTTAAAAGGTCATTACTTGGGGAAATCTGAGCTATACTTGTGCATATTCACAATGGCATTATTAATCTGTATGTTAAAATCTCTGAGTATCAGTTTATCTCATAGAGAATTCAATGGGAAGTTGACTACAGAAATTATGGGTCTCTAAGATTGATTACTGGTAAAAGACAAGGGGCTCTTCTTCAATTTCTCTGTAATTTTTGGCAATATGCGGCCTTTCCAGACCTCAGTTTTGCTATCTGTTAAGTAAGTCTAATAACATCTATCTTAAAGAGAACTTTTTCTCCCCTCTGCACAATAGCAGTTCCTCAGAACATAAAATTTGTGAAATAGTGTGATGTAGGAAACAGGACTCGATAACAGCTAACTTATCAAGTACTTCTTGGTTCTTCACCTTAAGGGAAGATCTCTGTTCGAAAGACTACATAGATACGTGTGTCAATGGTAGGGGCAAAGCAGAGATAGAAGCAGGAAACACCATGATACCTAAAGATTCAGGGGTGTCTCTGGGTCTGTATTTATCTGTTGAGACACTTCAATGCCTCAACATAAAGACTTAGACATTATACCCAAAACATGTGCAAGCTTGGCGAATACAGAAACAAACATTCTGCATGTATGAGATGCAATACATCCAAGTGCTCCATCTTCTGTGGTCTCCTCTTTTACTGCATTCTGCATCCTTGATTCCCAAATAATTGCATGCTGAAGCACTGGCAGTTTCTGAGAGTAGGTTATCATTAACTTACAGCTTTGTGCTCATACTCTGCTTCCACCAGTGCTGCAGATGGGAGGCACGTGCCTGCTCAGTGACTGCGCTGCTGCCCTGGGACACATTTCTTGTGGTGCTGGCCCTTGACAGTACAGGCTGACCAGAACAGTCTGGGGTGACAAATGGGAGCTGCAGGTCTGAAAAAAGTACCAAGGGGATGAGAAAGGAAGTCAGCAGAGCATTGAAAGCAGGGACGGACTCCTGCTGCTAAGGATTAAATGTATAAAACACAATAGACAGAGAAGAGCTACCAACATCAGATGAAAATGTAAAATAACAAATGCTAAGATGATAAACTTTTTTGGATCTGCTAGCAGAGAGTTTCACCCCCACCAAGCACCCCCTTCCAGCTGCTAGCTTCAGGCTGAAAGGCTTAGCTGCAACTCCTACTTCAGAGGTGAGTGCAGCAATACTGCATACAAAAATCATCACATTTTTCCTTCTTAAAAGAAGAAATTGAAATCCTTGATTTCCAAATATAGAATACCAAAACTTAGTTTCTCGTGGACCACTAATTACAGTAAATGGGGAAAAGAAATTTCTTTGATTAAGGACCAACAGACTTTGCTACTGTAATCACATAGCTCAATAAATAAGCACATATCCTTGTTTTTATGCTCGCCATTAAGGCTACAATTTGCAGCTACTGAAACCTATGGGAATCTTAGTTCTGCCACCAAACACAGTGGGAGTAGGACTGATGTGCCACAGTTCTCCAACTTATTGAGGCATGTGACTATTAATAGTAATCAAAATATTGTGATGTGAGGTCAGTCAAAGGGTAGCATTTTCTGCTTTTACTGTGCTTGATAAAAAAGGCACAAAGCCCTTATGTTGGGTCATTATTTCAGGCAGGATAGTTTTCATTTGCTCTAACACACCTCACATTTCAAGTTCTTAAGCAATTGTCAGGAAAAATCAAGATGTTCAAATTATTCCCAAACCTTATTACTTTTCTTTTTAATGACATACCGCATTGTGCTATGTTCTGAATTTATTTGTACAGCTTCTTTTCTAAAGCATGCACTCTCAACTTTGGTGCATGAAATAAAAAATAAAACTGAAGTTGTTTTCCTGGTGATGAGCTGTAAACAGACATTTAAAGAAAAAAACTACTTATTTTCCCAGAGAGCCTATTAAAATAACATTGTGATTGTCTGTATTTATTGACTGTTCATCAGATCAGCTCGACTCAACCTTCCAGTCTCAACTGGGATCTAGAATTAATCTGGTCCTCTGCCTTACATGCACCATTTAGCAGCATTAAAGGCTTAATAATCAAAAGCAGGCAGTTATTTAATAGAACACGTCATGCTCAAATTATATTCACACTGACATCCTTCTGTTGCGTTATGCATTATAACTGATTTGCAAGTGACTACCTGGTTTTTGATGGTACAGTGACAAAAGCAGACTCCTCTACTTACTTGACTGTTTAGTGACAACAGGAGGAAGACAGTAAATTCCCATTAAGTAATTTATTTAGCAGACTTGCTTCTGAATATGCATTGGAACCAGATCTTTAAAATCAGGTTGTATTTTTTTCCATATCTGGCTTCATGTAAAGACACAAGGGCATTTTACTATGGCAATTTCAACCCTGTAGATAGACAATGTCATTTCACCATGGCAATTAGCAATGGTCCCATGAAACTACTCCTATGCATCCCTTTAGCTACTTAAAAGAAAGTAAACATTTTACTGAAAATAATAATATGGCAGAGAAGGGCTGTACAGATCCTTACACAAGAGAAAGCGATGTGTCTTTTCCTTTTATAAACATGTTTCTAATTGTATTGCTAAAGCAATAAGTAACAATTCACAAGTTTGAAAATAACGAGAGAAGGTTTGTGTACCTGTCTTTATCCCTCTTAAATGAGAGTTTTAGCTGTTTCAGGGAAAGAAAAAAGATCACTTTGACATTAATTTGTTTGTTACTACCCAGTGGACCATTTCTTGGAGCTGGATATAACGAAGTAAAACAAATAGGTAGGCACAGATGAAAAACACAACTGTCCTGGAATTCTCAAACTACTGGGTAGAAGATCCTTAGTGTTGCCCTAAGTCATTGCCTCAACTTAAAAAAAAAACCAACAAAAAAACAACCCAAAACACCCACATCCCCCCTCCCCCTGCAAAACCAACCAACCAACAAACAAAACCACCTGCCATGTCTTAAGGAAGAGGAGATTAAACAAATTTCAGGGTGCTGATGATTAGCATTGAAAACTAAAAAAGGGCAACGCTCATAAATTATGCCTCTTCTGTAAAGCATTCTGTTTGTACAGTGCCTTAAACCCCTTTATTGGTTTTGTGTTGGCATCTCCCTGGGAGATGAGCCCATCACAAGGGGGCTCTAAGAAGAAGTGAGACTATCACTAGGTGCTTACTCCTTTGAGATGACACAGAGCATGTACACCATCAGGCAGAGTTAAGAGGGAGTGAGAGTTCCTCACTTTGCTAAATCTACTCCTAGTAATCAATGAACGTAATTATCATAAGAGACATCAGTAGTGTTGAACTGAGCACACTCAGCTGCATCAGTTCTCATGGCAACTCTTCACCTGCTCCTGCACTCAAAAGCAGTAATAGTGTTTATTAGAGCTGTGTATTTGTTAATCAACTTTATCATCAATGAAAATTAGCCTGCAGTGCCTTTACTATTTGCAGTAATTGCCATGTTTTTCCATCTTGAAATCACTCTACAAGCTGTTGTTAATTAAGCAGTCCTCTTGAAGTACATAAACAACATCAACATTTTTTAGTGGAAGAGGTGAAGCAGGCTCAGCAGTTGATGAGTCAGGCTTGGAAAACCAAGTTAGAAAGAGTCCCAGCATCCTAATATCATGTCCAGACTACATCCCCTCTTTCAAAATTCCAAATTGTATCATTTGTGATTTGTACATAATAATTTTTGTAGCAGACTCTAAAGATCAAAGGAAAAAAATAAACAAAAGAAGATAATTTTTCTTTTTACAGTGGCTATGCAGTAATGAAAATGTTACACAAAGCGCTGTTTTTCCTGAGGAGCAGCTGCAGGCTTTGCCACAAGTACTTTTTGCTGCTGCCATTTTTGATGTTCCAGTGTAAAGCAAAAGACCTATGGCTGGATACCTGCTTTCACTTTGAAAAAAACACCAAGCTTCACTTCCTTGAAATTCTGGCTTGAATAAGTTTTCTGATGATGACATCTCTGGAATGGTACCATTGAAAACACTGACAACAACACCACTTTACCTCTGTCTAGGGTGTTCACTGTGAGGCCATGCTGATGAGTAAGGAGGCCACTACATGTTCTCACCTGAATTCACATATTAACCCAGCAGCAGGTAAAATACAGACCTGAGACAAGAACAGCTGCATGGCACATGCAAAGAGGAGGTATAAAATCCACCAAAGCAAGTTAACACCTCTAGATCAAAAAAAAATAAGCACCTCTTTGTCACATGAACTGGTGGCAGATACTATTCTGTCAACTGCAATCTCTCAAAGTACAACAGTCAAACAGATCAGTTGGCAGTGACCACTGATCCCTAAAGCAGCAGCCTCACTGACACCTGATGAGGCCTTTCAAATGTTTTACACAGCTGTGACTTCTTGCTCCTTGCCCCCCCATCTCTGGCTCACAAGTTATTGACTTGTCTTTGGCTCAGAGTTCTGAAGCGTAACATGTGATTCAACACATACACAACAAAGAATAGCTAATTTAAGAGTTGCAATGTGTGGCTGAGAAAAAGGGTTTACCAATAGCTAGAAGTACACTTGGACAAATCAAGAATTCCTAGAGCAAAGCCAGGCTGCAGCCACCTGAACTGGTGGTAAACAGAATACTTAGGTTAACACAAACATCTGGTGATCTACAATGGCAAGGAATTCAGCAGGAGAATACCCTATTCGTTGAACTAAGTAACGTATGGTTGAAAGAGAAGGAAAAAGAAGATGAATGAGAATGTGTCCTCTTCTTTATCTTTCCTCCCATAGTATCCTTTGATGTTACAAGGAAGTTTATGATATGGGTTTTTTAGTTAATTTCTTACTTTGTGCAAGATCAAATAGACCTTTTATATTACATAAAAGATATTGCATATTTTATGTACTCCAAACATGGAGCAAGGAACAATTAAGACTATTGTTTGTGAGAAAAACGCCATTTTGTTTCTCGAGTGCCCATCAACTGTCAGACGTGTTACAAACATTTAAAGAGCGATTAAATCACCTTGGGAGCTCCTGTTTATTTAATGAAGCACAAAGCTAGAGATTGAACGAAATGTAACAAGTGCTGTGCTTTTTTCTGAGCCCAACACATTGTTGATTTCTTTCATAAAAGGAAATTGTAAACTCAGCACATTTGTACTTGCAAGGTATTCATCCAATTGCTTTTCTTTTTAGCAGGAAAAACATTGCTTCAGAACCTTAAAGTACATTGATGCTGAAACTGTACAGCAGCCTTTCCATCTACATAGAAGCCTTGTGAATGTCTTCCTAGATTTTCATAGTGGTAGTCTGTCTACAGCAGGACCCTCAATTCTCTGACATGAAAAAAAAAAAAAGAGAATGGCACCTCATGTCAATTGTCAGCACTTTCTACAGTACAATACCTAGGAGCTACTGATAACAGATGCTCTCTGTCAGCCTTGCAGGTTTGCATTCCGACAGGGCCCCTCAGTAAGTCAGAAGAACTCCATATTGCATTCTCTTCTGGGATCATCCATTTTCCTTACTGTGTGTGAGGAGCACTTACTGGTGTGCTGGAGCACAAAGAGTTTACCTGTGATACAGGCAAGCTGTATTGCTACAACCTGGTCCGCTTCTAGAATTTACAGCTGGACAATTTTCCAGCCTCTGTAGGTTGGAAAGGTGTGTTTCACAGCTGCAAAGATTGCTCCACATCAGGAGATGCCTAAAAGCTTCCACAGATTCTTAGGCAGACTTCTGAGTCCTCCAGGACAAGGAATTTTGATCAAAATAAAGCCTAGTAACCTTTGGCTCAATCAGGTACAGCAACCCGCTCTAAGTTCCATAACTGTGAAATCAATTAGCATTGAAAATGAATTTTTTTTCCATTCTTCAATGTTGATTTTGGAGGATGGATAATTTCACTTGAACTACTGCCACTACATGCTTTGAGACTTGTCAC